AGATAGATAGATAGATAGATAGATAGATAGATAGATAGATAGATAGATAGATAGATAGATAGCCATGAAGTCAGACATCAGAAAATAAAAATGCTGTTGTCACCATGGTGAGCACACACACCTCAGCACAGAAGCAGAAGTGAAAGGAGATTTTATGGGATGGATCTGGGTCAGTGCTTCTCACTTCTGCTTGTGTCTGTTCACATGTAACGAGTCACCGAATGAGCAGGAGGATTTTTACACCAGTCAATATGCTTGAATGATGAGTAAGACGAGTGTGTCCCTACGGGTGAGTGCTTTCCCCATTCCAAAAAAAAAAATCCTCTTCTTGTCAGCGTTGTAAGTGTCTGTGGCTTCGATCTGATCAGGAAACTGTACTTTGTGGTAGTTTCGACCTTAAACGTTGTGTATTTTACCTGATTCATTATAATGAGCGCAGTGAATCTGCTGTTTTTTCATCTCAGGCTCATATTATCGTTATACTCTTTTTTTTCTTGGACGTTTTAAACCAAACATGTAAAAAGCTGGATTGTCAGGGCGTGGAGAAAAAGGCAGGTAGCTCCGTTTGTGATGTTACAGCATATTACCATTCAATACAACACCCGGAAGAAAGTGAGACAAACTATATGAGTTTCTATTATTCAGTCCACCTTGAGGCTAAGTAACCTGAAAATCATGTGGTTTCCTGCAAAGTGTGTGAAGGTAGCAGCTTGTAGAAACACTGTGTGGAATATGAAACCACTTAACATTTAAAAATGGGCGTCACAAGAAGAACCTAAAGGTCATTTCATCTTTCTTTTTTTTTTTTTTACGATGGTGATTTAAGAGTCAGAACAAACAGGAGAAATTATGTTTTTCACCATGACACCGCGAACTGTGGCTCATTTTTATTTACTTCCTGAAATGACGAGTTCAAGAAATGATTTGTTGAAGAGAAAAGGCTGCGATACTCAACGACATATATTACTCTCAGTTATTTGAATCAATCATCAAACTAAAAATGCCCAATATTTTCTGGGTTCAGGGTCGAGAACAGGATTTCCTGTTCTTCACTTTTCAGGTTTTAGATTGAACAACCTCAGTCACTTCTTCTCACAGGAGATCGATCCCACTCACCAGAGTTACAGAGAACAGACGCTCAGGGAGTGAAGGAGGAAACTTTCTGCTTTTACAAAATAAAAAAAAGTTGCATAGTGTTGCTTTAAAGCTCCAGTGTGTAAGATCTAGGTGAAAGGATCTATCTGCAGAAATTAAATGTAGACTAATCCTCATGATGTTTTCACGAGTTCATTTCATCTGATTTGTATGAATTTGTAGTTTTCTTTCAGCTGCAACATGACGCTTCAACACCAGATATCACTAAATTCTACACACTGTACCTTTAAATAACTTAAAACCATGGACGCAGCAGTAAAATGAACCTGGACTGATTTCCTCCTCCAGTGAACATGGCTCTGTCCAGCTGCTCACCTCCTCTGCTGATTGAAGACTCCAGCCTCACGGGATGGGATTTGATCGGCTGCGGGGGGTTCGGACAAATCTACAAAGTCAGGCATCGTCAGTGGTGCTACGACATCGCCATTAAGCTGCTTCATTACGATGACGGGTGAGTAGCTACAGAAGAATTTCAAGTCTGCAAGTAGAAAAAAGTAGGATTTACTGACGATACACACACACACACAGGAGCAGTACATCTTTGCTGCGGGAGGTCGAAATGATGCGTCAAGGAAGCAACGAGTATGTAATGCAGGTCCTTGGCGTCTTCAAGGGTCGACCGCCGAACTCCGGGCCCTCAGCACAGCTGGGTCTGGTCATGAAGTACATGGAGAAAGGATCCCTGGCCTCCCTACAGGTACCACACACACTCTGCCAGTCGTGTCAGTGTTTGAGCCTCAGTAGAAACATCAGTTGATCCATCACCCGACTGAAACTCAACCAGAGGATGGATTGACTCGGCAGCAATGCACCTTGACACTGGTGGACGACCAATAAACCCAACGAAGAAGAAGAGGGCGTTTTCTTACTGACCTTCATAGTCCCCGGAACCATGTTGTCGACATTTTGATTTGTTCTTTTGGGAAACATGTCGACAACCTGTTGTCATGATACAGATACACCTCTCATGTCAGCACTCCTCACATTCTGTTCACAGCAGACTCTACAAGGAGTGACACCGTTACCGCTGGTCTTCAGACTGGCTCACCAGGTGGCTCTGGGGATAAACATCCTCCACAGCCTCTCCCCCGCCGTTCTCCACCTGGACCTGAAGCCCAGCAACGTGCTGCTGGACTCTGATCTCAACGCCAAGGTGAGCGCATCCGTCTCCCAGTGTCGTCTCACAACCGTGATATTCTATAAAAAGTTCAAATGTCTGTGTACATTTTCATCCAGTATCCAAAAGAATGGTTTAATTATCATTTTCTGGAACATTTCACTTTTTAATAGTTTTAAAAAAAAACCTGGAACACGGCATACATCTGTTATTGTCTCCTCCCAATGCTAATCGTGTCCCCTCACCACATCTTCTTCTCCAGCTCACAGATTTCGGCCTTGCTAAGTTTTATCACAGTGTCAGCCGGATTTCCAAGAAGGACAGAGAAGACGAAGGAGGGACGATCAGCTACATGCCGCCGGAGGCTTTTGACACAACGTACACCCCGACACGAGCCTCTGATATCTACAGGTACAAGAGCAATGAACCAGGAACGAATAACGGCTTTATTTGTTGTGTGAGGAGGAATTAACAACGCCGATTTGTAGACTAGCAGGTTTACTTTAAGGGAGACATGTTATGCTCATATTCAGGTTTTAATGACGGTCATTACTTGGAATCTGAGCCAAGAGCCAAGAATCGCAATTAGCTCTGTTGTGTTGTGGTGGTGATCAAGGTCATTAACCTTCTCGGCCTTTGTTTCAGCTATGGTATACTCCTGTGGTCCATCGTCTCAGGGAAACAACCTTACGCACGTGAGTGATGATCTGGTTCAACTTCCTCTCTTTTAGCGAGTGCATTTAGTTGGAGAAACAAAGTCGTGCCTGCTCAATTTGGATTTTAGCAGAATCTGATCCCATCGGAAGAGAAAATGACCTGAAATGATTAGTTGGAGATTCAACTGAGAGGAAAATAATCAGCAGCTGTTCTGATGATGATTAATCGCTGAAATTACGTTTGAAGTAAAAATAAATAAATTGTGAGGACTTGCTGCTATTTTCAGTCTGACTTCATTCTATTCAATATTCAATACACAAATATTTTAGATTTTTGAACAAAAACATTTAATTGGGAGATTTAAATCTCTACATCTTTCAAAAGTCATCATTAGTAGCAAAATATCACAGTGTCCTTGAAAACTGGTTCAGTTTGTATCGCACACTCTCTATTCTACCACCAGGGGGCCCTAAAGTCTAGAATAAAACAGAATCCTTCATTAGGATAAAATAAAACACAGATTTGTCATCAGGGCATGTTCGTTGTCATCTATTGTGTTGTTAATATTAAGTTGGCAGCCAGTGCAGCTTCAATACAATAATACATTTGATTAAATGACATTACTACATTAGAGTGAGGCACAATCTCCAAAACCTCTTTGTATAATCTGCCCTCTACTCTAGAGGCAAAATCCAGCATAGTGCGGTTTCGGATCCCCCAGGGAGACCGACCATCGCTGCAGGAGTTCAGCGATGGTCAGACTGAAGAGCTGAAGGGACTGATGGAGCTCATGACAAGATGCTGGGAGCACAGTCCCACCCAAAGACCCTCATCCTTGGGTAAGATAAAATACTTCATTGAGCAGAGTTAAACAACGTGCAAGCTTTTAAATGTGTAATAACATTAATGGGATTTAAATTTGGGATATGTGTACGCACAGGAAAACACTAAACCTTTATATGTTTGTGCTCTGACATGAAATCTTTTTCTGGCAGAGTGTACGACCATCACAGAGGAACTGTACAAGAAGCACAAACATGGCATTGTTGATGCTGTCCATGAAGTGCAGAAGAAACTTGTAAATATGAAATATCTCCACCAACAATGTCTGACGCTGCACAACGTTAACATGACGCGGCAAAAAACCACTTGAAACCCCCTCGTCACTGTCTGATTCACGCTTTCTCTTCCTGTTTTTCAGGAGCAAAAGGAACAAGACAGATTAACGGAGCAGGTTCAGAGGGTTCATATCGGTCAGGCCTCAGGTCCGCTTTACATGAAATCTGTTTTCTTTCACTTTCAAAGATTCTCTTCTGATCACTTTTCTTACATGAGAGTTGGATTATGTTGCGTCTGATTCTCCTCCTCTTGATTTAATTATTGTTTTTTTCAATTTAAACTTTTCTTTCTGTAAAGCACGTTGTAACATTGTCAAATTATTATAAACCTGTCAACCCTAACCCTAACCCCATTCGGTGTCATTTCATTCCGTCTTTTTTCTTTCAGGGACTCCAAGAGTTGAAGCTGTGAACATCCAGGATAATGTTCTGACGGGACGTCCGCCCGTTCAGGTGAGATATGACACATATAGATATTAGATGTAATCGGAGTTCAGACCCTCGCCGCATCGTTCGGTCTCTTTCTACTGGATGAAATTGATTTCTTTTAAATCATGAACTGACTCACTGGTCTCTGAGGTATTTTCTTTTTCCCTTTGCCACAGATTGGTCAATACTGTGATGTTTTCATTCTCAGAATCAAACATCTCGGTGTGCGTCATTAAGGGATTATCATGTTGACCATTTTGAAACCCTCTTTGAACTTCAGACCCTTTAAACCATTTATTACTTGGTAGAAAACAAATGTCTTTAAACAACCAATAAGCAAAGTCTCCATAAAGTGTTTTATGGTTGAATGGTTCATCGTAGACAAGTAACTAACAGAACACTTACTTCCTTTTGTTGCAGGAAGAGGCCAGTGGTTTAAAGTCAAATCAAAAGTTCAAAGGTAAACAGGAAGTTGGTGATGGAGCTGGATGCGGAACTTCACTTTAACGTCATGATCAAGAAAAAACAAATCATCTACCGCAGCTTCACGTTTTTCACATGTGTTCCCTCACAGACCCGCTTACGTCCCGCCAAGCAAACACGTGCCACGTCGACCCGGCCCGCTCGTCCACAGGCGACCACAAAGCCAAAGCTTCCTCCGTTTATCCCATCAGTGCATCCCCGGCGTCTCCCTCGACCACGAGGTCACATCAGGCGAGAGCAGCTGAGAATCCGCAGAGGGCGTTTAAGCCGAACTGCACTCAACAGTTCCAGGTATAAATTTAAGAAATTACAATCATGAAGAAGTTTACACATTTATCCTCAGAGGAAGATAAGAAGGGACCCGACGTCTTCTCTATCGTCTTTCATGCACTTTATTCAGTTCATCACTACGCAAAAACATATATAATCATAAAGATTACTGAGAGAAACTTGTATCTAATGTAGAAATACCGACTTCTGGATGAATACTGATATATTTTGATCTGTATTTTTTGTTTTTTTACATCTGCAGCGTCAGTTGTCCAGCCCTGTCCCTCCGTCCCTGCCACATAAAATCTGCATCACCTACAGCAACGTGACTGGAGTTCAGAGTGGCAACGAAAACACCATGTACATCAACACCGGGCCTGAGAGGAGACGACACCCAACAGCTCCACCTCGTGTCAACCCCTCATCGCCACAACCATGGAGCTGGAAGAACAAATGAGGAGTTGCTTCACTTTTTTATGTTAACTTCCTGCCAGACATTTTAGTTTTTATTTGACATTTTTATATATCGTCTTTGTCGTGTTTGCTTTTCAAGTCTGAACAGGAATTAAGATCCGCTTCAGGTGACACGCAGGCTTTTAAAATTATGGTTTTGTATTTTTTGGAATATTTATTCTGCTTCTTTGGTTTCAAAATGTTTCACCAATCAGAAAAAAAAAAACCCTCACAGCTCTTCTTTGCCCCCGTCAGCAGAAAAACGGTGTGATCATGTGGTTTTAAAAAAAACTGTGGTCAGCAAATATCCACGGGCGAAGCGCCAGAACACCCTCAGCTGCCAAAAATCAACTCAACACCAGACGGACCGAGTCACAAGAGCTCCATGTATATTCTGACCTGTTCTAATAGTTCATTTTGTTTTTGCTGAAATTCCAAAAAGTACAGAAGAGTATTGGGACCAGATCTCCACCTCTTTAATGTCACAGAGGTTCGGTACAGGCCACATTCATTTGCACTGAAATACAGAATTGGATGATCAAAATATTTTTGTATCTGTTTGGTTTCTTTTATACTTTTTTTCAAATGTCTTTTTGTGGATTTATCTTAACACAATTTGTAT